TTAACCAATTATATTTCAAACCTCAGTTTGCCTTGGTGGAAAACCGCATATTTGATTTAATCAGTCATGAAGGCTCTCAGAGAATGCATCTGTGACTGAAATGCAACCTCAGATGGTCAGTAGCACACTCCAAAATGAGACGCAGATTCAGAGTTCCACATGAGGTTATTAATTAGCAAATACCATAAACATTACAAACAAAAACATTAGGTGAACAGGTTACACTGTAAGCCTGTTTCCTAAAAATACGTTATGTGATGAGATTTGCAGTGATATGCAATTTGAGTGTTTGCACCAGACGAAACATGACAGAATTTAAATACAGACAGAATAGTGTACTCACTGCACTCCACAATAAGTTTTAAGTTAAGATTTAAATCAGCATTTGTTGGTGTCGTCAATCTGTAAACCTGCTCTTGCGTGTTTTAAACCAGAAATGCAATACCTAGTTCAACCCCTGTATGTAAAACGTACATATTGCCACCTTTCATTGGCAAGGAAAAACTTATATGGAAGTTCAGGGCTCTGGTAACCTTTTTGGCAAGCATCCTCCAGCTTTTGGTAGTCAGAAATAAATTCTAATAGCTTAAATAGAAAAGACATTATTTTCTTTAAAAAAAAAATTTACTAAATAAAAAAAAGCATATAATGGCATTAATTATAGGCTACATGCACCATACATTTTTGACAAATCCACATTTTAATTATTTGTTTTTATTTAATATGAATAAAAAATTAAAAGCACTAAAATAGGCTATATTCTTCCTCCCATTTAGATAGTTCGAAGGGCACGGTGAACTCATATTTAGTAGCCAGACTTGAAAACATAACAGCCTCAGGACATCCGGCTAGCAGTTTTGCGAGGCCTGGAGTTCTTAAGTCCCTTCTGAATCTCACCTGATGACATTTATTTTTTAAATCTAAAGAGGCCTCCAAAACTAATTTAGGAACCTTCTTAAAAAACTTAATTAGCGAAAACACAAGTAATCCAGCAGTAATTTTCATTAATACCACAGACTTGTACACCAGCAGTCTTAACTCACTTGCACTTAAAGAGCTCCAAAACGGTCATTAGATAAAGTGACAGATGTGTCACCTTGATGTGAGTAAAGAGGAAGACAGGTCTGTGTGCTCGGCCACTGCACACACGCTCTGCATTAATCAGTAATGAGCAGGGCCACAATCTCACTCTACAAACAATTAAAGCCCATCCTCTCCACTCAAGAGCTGTTCAATTGTGCCAGATGGTTGGACATTAACCCATATGCTTAAACATTAGCCTTTTGTAAGCTTGTGCACGGCGAGCCAAAAAGTCAGGGATTATATTGAGATTATTAAATTAAAATAAGAAATCAATTTCGACCAGCAGACATCGCACATTTTAGGATTCTCACTAATCTGACACAACCAGTTTAGTTCATAGATTTTTACCAACAAAACTTAATCAGGCAACAACTATGCAAATATGCAATGTAGAAGAGCTTGTCTCCAGGTATAAACCAATAAGCATTGGTAGCGCTGAATGAATTCCCTCAAACAAAGCTAAAAATTATATTGCACTATATATAAAAAGGCGAAAGATCGTGCAAGTTGATTAAACAAAGATACACAGTCATTCTGACAAACATTTCCTTGTATGTTCCATGAAAGAATGAAGTCAATGATGCCATGATTTTTTAGAAGAACTGCCAGAACAAACTGTTTCAAAACAAAATTCTGAAAGCACATGATACATGCACACTTGCCACTAAACATCAGATGAATATTAATAGTAACTACAACAATGAAGCTATATCTGCCAATAATGAACTATGTTTCTTCGCAGAAGACATTTATGGTTTGCATCTGGCTTCATTGTTCAAATAATTCACCCAAATATGAAAAGATTTTGTTAATGACTTTTTAAATGACTTTGTTCGCCAATAGCTATGTTTCAAAAATGTGAATTAAATTTATGCGCACAACAGGAATATTGCATCCAAGACATGCAGGTAAAGCAGCGTTTCCATCCAAGTAGTTAAAGAGAACAAAATCATCACTTCCTAAATAACTGGTGTCAAATATCAAAAGTTCAAATGGAATTTTCTGCAGTAGTAGAAGCTGCGTGAATCTTTTCTTCATTTAATAAATGACTTGCACCTAGAAAGACAAATGCCGACATGCAATGAACGTGTGGTGGCGTTTGAAGGCGTGTGAAGCAGAGCACAGAAGCTCTTGATTCTGGAGGTAATTAATAACATAACTTTCTTTACATTTTGTAGTTCTACAAAAATGAAGCTACATACAGGTATATGCAAATAATGAACTTTATTTCTTGGCAGAAGATGTTTATGGTCTGCATCTGGCCTCATGGTTTAAATTAAGGTTGGGCGATGTCGACCAGTTTGGCATGGTACGATGTCTCTGGGTGGGTTTGATAGAATGCGCGGGTAGAGAAGGGATAGATCCGGGGGTGAGAAGGGTGGGCGCCTTATTTGAGGACCGGGAGGGAGACTCGCGATTTCCGGGAGATTATCTCTTGTTTGTGGGTATTATGAGTCCTGCAATTGCATAAAGACTCCCGGAACTTCCGGGAGACTTGGGATTTCTGACAATTTCACATTTAACAACTACAGTGAGACACGATTCAGCGGTACATCATTTTTAAACTTGAGCGCATGACAGTGACTGGCTGTGTTTGTGTGTGTCTGTGGTCACGTGATGTGCGTTTTCAGTGGACGAAGGAATGTTTAGAAATGTTACGGAAAACACAGTGTGGATGTGGATAATTTTCATTCTAAAATGCTATTTTAACACTAAGACGTATTACTGTAAATGGGACCTGAGTGTGAATTTTACGCGAGCGGGTTTGTGACGCGGGAGAAGCAGAGGACCGACGATGCCAGCTTAGCATCGTGTTGTCTATTGGCCATCGGCGATGGACGATGGCATCGTCTATAGGCCTAACCCAAGTTCAAATAAGCTTTAAAGGGTTATTTAACTCAAATATGAATATACTGCTTTTAATTAAAGTAAAAAAAAAATTGATTAGCCATTTGTTTAAACTACTTAATTTAAACGTTTTTTAAAGTTTTTTGGGGAGACAAATTCAATGTTTCACGTTCAATCCACCTAAATTCATTAATTCGTTCATTATTTATAAATACACATTCTATTAAAATATTTGTATCGTCAAATCATATTAAGACAAGTCACCGATAGATTTTTATTTCCCTTTCAAAAAATGAGTGTTTAAGTCTCTAGTGACTGATTCTACATCTCGTATGTACAACATGATCATGTCTACTTTTAAAATAGTCAATCTAAATTTGTACAAACTAACAAATTAACTTATTTCCTTCACGTTGTCTTAACACTGATTTATTGTGTGGAATCCAGCCTTTTTTTTTTTTTTACAGTGTACTGAGACTCAAACAACTTTGTTTGCCAATGTGTCAGGTCATCAGGGTGCCTGCTTTCTATAGACAATATTAAATACTGCTATTAGAGTCAGCAGCGCAATACGCAAGTGTTGCATTGTCTAAAGTAATCACACACTCTGACCTGATAAGGAAGTAATAGACAAACAAAATCATTTTTACAGTTTTTTTGGTGTACAAAAGTGTTCTTGGAGCTTCGCATGATTGCAATTGAACCACTAAGTCACATGTAACGTTTTGACAATGTCTTTCATTGATTTTCTAGACTTTAAATGCCTCATCTACGAAGAATGAGAAAGCTCATAGTTCATCAAAAATATTTTTTATTTGTGTTCTGAATATGAATGAAGGTCTTAGTTGATTGAAATAACATATTGGTGAGTAATTTATAACAGAATTTTTCATTTTTGAGTGAACTAAGCCATTAACAAATACACACAAACTAATTCTTTTGATTCTTCAAAAACGCTCATCCGTCTATTAACGAAATACCATTTCAGTAACTTTGATAATGTTATCAAAACACGATCATGTGCTTCTTGGTGACAAAAGCCAAAGGAATTACTGGCATTACTGGAATCCACAAGAACAGCTCTACAACTTGTTCTTTCGGCTGCATTTTGAATACAACATTGTTTCGCATGAATTAATGTATGCCTTTCTAAACTATCAACACTCAAGAGCTTTTCTGGGTCACAGAGTACACGAAACTAGAAGCAAATAAAAGAATGTGGCAATTGCACACAACACAATGCCTTGGTTTATTGGAGGTGTGACTTTGAGCATTTCCAAACAGAGGCCTGAGAGTAGAGAACTCAAAGGTAAGGCCTCGGGAATTTAAGACACAAAGACAAGAGATAGACTGACATGACAACCTCGTCTGCTCAGAAATGAACATATTGTATGAAGCAACAATAATCACAATTAGAACATGTGTGATGATGTTTAATATACAGATGCAGTGTGACAAGACAGGAATAGCAACCAAGGGTCAGGTAAAATGGCGTATTTGTCAAAATGGGAGAGAGAATTTAAGGCTTACAAACTATAAACTATAAGCACAAAGCAGGGCTGGACAATAAATCGATATCAATATATATCACAATAGAATTTTTCTGTCTATTGATAGCCACTGTTTAATAAACAATTTAATTTAACCTGGCAGTAATTGAGTTGGAGGCTCAAGCTGATGAAACATTTGGTGAATTTGAGCTAATTGCCAGGCAACTTCAGGAAATGATGCTGTCAATAGGCAACCAGGTGATGGACAGGGCAATGGGATTCAGATACAATATAACAGTTAGACGGGACAGATGGGAAAGTAGCCTTGAACCATCGCTCTGCAAGACTGTCTGGCAAAATTGCTCAAAAAGTTGCTCTGTGTATCATCAAGCATCAGAATAAGTATAACTGGTGGAGATATACTTTCACATCTCTGCTCTTGAACAAACTGACCATTTAAGAGTTTCAATTTCTGTGCCTTGACAGCACAATGAGTGCTCCGCTCCTACTCATATCACAGTAATTCCAATCAGATTTTCAGACGATTTACTTTGAAACTACATTAGAATCAGCTCTTACCTCCAGCACCGGTCCAGCACCAAGAATGATCTGCTCCACTCCACTTGCAAAGCCCTTCTGACTGAGAGCTGTGAGATGGTGGATCAGGAAGTTGGTGCTTTGAGTTTTGCCCGATCCACTCTCCCCAGAAATAACAATGCATTGATTCTGTCTGCTCTGCAGCATGGCATGGTAGGCCACATCTGCCACTGCATAAATGTGTGGCTCCAACTTGCCTAGCTGGTGATTATCATACATTTTGACATATTTGGGGTTATAGATTGGAAGAAACTTGAAGGGGTTGATGACTATAAGGATGCTGCCCACGTAGGTGTAGATCTTCTCCTGCTTGAAGCGACTACGCAGGTTGTCCAGCAGGGTCTTCTCGTTGAGGTCCGGCAGGTTGCACAAGTCATCGAAGTCCTTTGGCAAAGGCTGCGGCAGGAAGCCCCGCTCTACCATGCGCCGGCGCTCTTCTGTGACTTGCAACCACATCTGCAAGTTTCCATAGTGGATGGAACCGTCCAGGTTCTTCTCGCGCAGCAGGAAGCGGTAGTCCTCGCTGCTGAAGCGGTTCTCCAGTGCCATGCGAGGCCATAGCATCATGCGCTGGACGGGATAATCGGTGGGGTTGAGAATCCACTCCTCCCCACCGAACTCCTTCACTTCCGCCAAGACGTAACATTTTGTCCGATCTAGCTGCAGCCGATCGATAACCTGCTCGATGACCTCTGCAGCCGAAGTGATCTTACGGGCGGCGACAGGGCAGTAGATAGTGCCCTCTGCAATGATCCCCGGGTAGATGCGCAGGGTGAGCTCGGAGTCCTCAAAGCGTCGTCTACCGCCAACATCATGAACACTCATATTGGAGCAGCAGTTTCCATCAGCGCTCACCGTACATCCTTCAAAAGGCCCAGATACTGCTTCAAGACATCACAACTGCTAGAGGAAGACAGAGAAAAGGAGATCATTAGTATTTATCTGGATTTTTCAGTGAGCGATAGAATTATCCACTGAGCAAGGTAAATGATTTCTGAAATTCATTTGTCTATTGTACGAGCCACTTCAACATTCTGTCACTTGAGCACCAAAATTTAACCCACAAGCTAAAAAAACGAGCAACAAACAGACATCTTTAGAAAGTTTCTTTGTGCATGGCAAAACTGCTGGAGACAAATGATGTCGGCCGTTCAAATATCGCGTCTTCTCTGCGTGCAAGTTCGTTATTTAGAATAGAGGCGTGCACAAATTGGGAGAGAAGCAAGCAGCAAGCACCCAGTTAAAAAAATCTTCAGAGTGCCGAGAACACACTGCAAGTCACGTGATAATAACAACCAGCTTTTCAAATCAAATTTCGGTAGACTTTACTTTAGACAAACACTGCAATGTTTAATATTTTTGCTCAATTTATACATGTAAATGCAAATAAAAAAAAACATGTAACTAAAAACATATACAGCTGATTTAATTGTTGTTTATAAATCTCACAACTGTGGTATACAGCATTACTTATAACAATGTAATTGTGAAAAAATACTGTGCGTTTCATATTTACATTCCATGTGGTTCTTTTCTGTCCTACAATACTTTTTGTTGTGTTACTATTTAAGTGTTTTCCCAGTTTTGCTCTGACAATGTAGCTATGTTTTCTATGGTTCTGTTTACTTCGTTATTTGCACAATAGCACAGTGGAGCTGTGTATAGTTTTAAGCAGGAGAAAAACCTGCATTGTGCTTTTTATCAAAGATTTTGTGCAGCTGTTATTTTTTTTGTGCAGCTGTTTATTTGTAAACATGGAAGAAAAGCCCTATCGCCCTACATATATATACATATATAATTATCATTATTATATTTAACCATTACATATTTATTAACTTTTCGGCTGATGTTTAAACTTATTTAATAACCTATTGCATTTGCATAACGTTTGATTTTGGATAATTATTCAAACCAATGCAAATCACTGCGCTCTTACAGCTAAATGGGCTTTGAGACCGAAATTACATCAAACAAGACTCAATGCAACAGTGCGGCGCAGGACAGGATTTGATGTTGACTTCGGGTTCATGCCGTTATCCTCAGCCTGCAGGACTGCCGCAAAATGGATATAATATACATGGATGAAAGCAAACGAAATCATATTTACCTACGCATGAAAAAAACAAGGACGCAATAGGGTCCTTTCAGACGGGAGGCTGATGGAGGACTCGCGCCTGCACGTGACTGTTTCTGTGTGGTGAAGTTTTCCATGTTATTGATTAGTTGAGCGCGGCGCAGTTTCAGGTCTCATCAATCACAAAAGTATTAACAGTGTCACATTTGTATTTGCTAAGATCTAACACAATGTTGCGCATGGCATATGTGTTTATTGTTTTCTGATAAGAGTTTCATTTTAGACATGGCTGCGGCGAGTCGGCATTAGCCAATTGGTCAAATATAAAATAGCCTATTTGACCTAAAACTTTTCACTGAGCTCAGTAAATGTTCTTTGATAAGTTATTAATAATCTGTTCAAAAATTATTTAATGCCAAAACGAATGGTTAAATACAGATTGTTTTTAATTGCATATAGGCAAGTTTAAATTGATAAATAAAATATATTTTAGGCTATAAAAAGAAATATAGACCTAACATATTTTTTTAAATTAAATAAATTGTTTATTTTCTGAAAAATGCCCATGTCCATGTTTATCATTCTATTGAATTAAACACAAATAAGACACATATATTCCGTGTGTTTGAAGGAGCAGTCAATGCATGCACTTAAAAAATAGTCTATTAGCCCCTTAAAACTTAAACAGGCTATTAATAACGGATATAAAAGATAAATAACTTTTTTTGTGAAAGCAAGAGAAAATTATGCGGCAGTGCTGGTACCTCAACATGTCTTAATCCAGAACATTTGAGCTGATTTCAGAGTTCTTTCATTTTATTTTTCAGTTGTTTCTTTTTTACAAAGCAATTTATTTAACATGTTTGTTGATAAAATCCAGTTTTGCTATTTAGACAATTATTTTTATGCAACAAAGTTGCAAACTAATTTGCTCTAAGATGTGGCTGTGCTCTCACATGCAGCTCGCGCTTCAACACCTGTTGCTGCTGAGAGAGAGACAGAGAGACAAAGTGAGAGTGCAAGGGAGCAATCGAAGTAATTAATTTTTTCCAAAAGTGTCGGTCAGGCGATGTAGATGTAAACAGCTGAAGTTATCATATTATTTATAGTTAATCTATTGTTAATGATGATATTAAAAATTAATAATACTATTCATTTTATTTAATAATGCAATCAAAACTTGTTATAGGTCTACATAAGTGCGAAACGAGCTAAATATCGTCTTTTAAATCGTCATAGGTCTCAGCTCCCGACGATATCTTTGCCTATTGTCGATACACGATACTATCGTCTATCGGCACAACACTAGATTAAATTATATTTTGCTATAAAAATGTTTAATAAAGTTTTAATAAAGGCTTTAACACTCTATATATATATATATATATATATATATATATATATATATATATATATATATATATATATATATATATCGTATACCGTCATTCCACCTAAAAATACCAGGATATGATATTTTGCTCATATTGCCATGCCCCTCAATGACACTAAAGTGTACATAAACATCCAAAAAATTGACAAATCAATCACCTTAATATATAAAAATTTTTTATATAATGATTGACTTCTAATATTCCCGTAACAAATGTCTATTCATTGATTCACTTCCTATTCGGCTTAGTCCTTCATTAATCTGGGATCTCCACAGCGGAATGAACTGCCAACTTATCCAGCACGTTTTTATGCAGCGGATGCCTTTCCAGCCGCAACTCATCTCTGGAAAACATCCACACACACTCATTCACACTCATACACTACGGACAATTTAGCCTACCCAATTCACCTGTACCCCATGTCTTTGGACTGTAGGGGAAACCGGAGCACCCGGAGGAAAACCCACACGAACGCAGGGAGAACATGCAAACTCCACACAGAAACACTAACTGACCCAGCTGAGGCTTGAACCAGCGACATTCTTGCTGTGAGGCGACAACACTACCTACTGCGACACTGCGTCGCCTATTATGTCTATTCAGATATCTAATATTAATACAACTAATTAACTTGGTACTCTTCACTTATTGTGGTCCCTTATTGTGTCACAAAACTGAACAATCCAACAAACAAAGTTGATGAGCTACTGTTGCTAAAGTGATTAAAACAGAGTCACTATCAAGAACGAACAGATCCACGCCTCGGCACACACTGGGTCACTATCTGCTCTCAACAGAGCACAGAAAATCAACCCAGTGCCAAAATCACCAGCTGCCACCTTCCCCAACAGACAGACAATAACTTGATTCACAACCACCACTTCATAATGACTCAATAGTCGCCAAGGGTTACTATTCATTACAGAAGCACCATGTGTACACTTAAATAAAATAGAAAAACACAGCAATCACTTCGCTAAATTGCTATAAACGTCACATAAATGTCAATGTTTACCTGAAAACATCCGTTTTAGCTCTAAAAAAACAGGTTCATTTACTTTAAATAACACCCACGGACTTGCATTTGTTTGAAGCTAAACAAAGCATGACTCTACTTTCAGTCTTCACACAATCTGATGTGTTATTTCAGCTGAGGGCACGGGCTATCTCTGAAACAACAACTCAAACACTAACAGCCTTCAGGGTTTCAATACCCGTCGAGGAGCAGGGCTTTATTTATTTTGTGCTAGCGAAGTCAATGTGGCTCCTGTGTGCTGGTGCCCGTCTCTCATCAGGAGCCAATGAGTGCGGCTGATATCTGGAGTCCAGCCAGCTCTCAGGTGCAGAGACAGGTCTCACTGAGCTCTCTGTTCACCACTGCTATTGATACAACTGACACATTAGTTTACACTGCAGCATTTGTAGAATGGTAAATGGTGTCGGATCGAGTAAGGAGCTGATACTTGGATATCCTTTAAACATCAGGATTGGTTTAGAGCTTAATTGTAGTCCAAGACTTGTTCAAGTAGAGTATTTGGATAACACTTGTGGAAAAATAGCTGTTAAGGAAATAGATGCCGGAGAGTGTTACAGTAAAACTAACAGATCACATCATTCTGGTTTGTATGCAATCCAACACACTGGCAATGCATGCTATGTTACAGCTTTTTATAAACTGTACAGTTTTTAACACATTATAAATTTACACAAATGCTGCTACATATTGTCTAGGACAATATACAGTACACAGACACACACACACACACACACACACACACACACACACACACACACACACACACACACATATATATATATATATATTAGTGCTGTCAAAATTAGTGTGTTAACGCATGCGATTAATTTCAAATATTAAACTTGTTAAAAAAAAATAGCGCAATTAATGCAGTTGCACTTTTTAAAAAAAAATTATTTCCTGTTGTGGCCGACGTGTGTTCAACATGCAAAAAAATATAGATAAGACCAAGAAAGCACTTTTTGAATGCAAGTTCATTATAAAACAATTAATGTCGCATTACCAGGCTATCCAGCGTTTTCTCCGGAGTTTTATGCAATTTTGGGTGTTTCATTTTTAACTTTCGACTTTTGCTTTAATGGAATGCAATACTGCATAGCGAACGGAAAAAAAAAACCTCCACATTTTGTGACTCCTTGGTCCTTTAAGGTAATCAAAAATTACTGCTTACATGGTAGACTCTTATTAAGAGTATTATCTTAATCATATTAAAATCGGAGTATTGGTGTCCATGTAAATGTAGTCACAAAGTGACAGATGAAGTCGTGAGCTGTCAAAGACAGCGCATTCCTCTGCCTTTCAGCATGAGCCCTCCAATGTTTTATTAAGTTTGATCTGTTTCCTTTTTAAACACAACTTTTGTAAAGCACCTGCTTCTTATTGTTGTGTCAGAATCTTT